GAAAGCAAGAGGTCGTGGCAACTCGCCTTCCGTGGGACGCCCCTTCCGCCCACCCGCTGGTAGATCCGCCCAAATAGCTGCCGACTGCTGGCCCGCCCACATCGCCCTGCCCTTCTGCCCAGCCCCTGGGCGCCCTCTCGAAGGCGACGCTGCGGGCCACGGCTGAGCACTCGCGCTGAGGCACCGCGGGCGCGCGCGCCGCATCCGAGGCAGCGAGGCTATTGCCAAATGGTGTTCGAAAGATAAAGGGGATCAGAGTGCCCCCCCCCCCCGTGCCCCCTTGGAGGGAGAGGGTGTCACTATCAGCGTGTCATGGCGGCGGCGGCGGCAGCGGCGGCGCTGGCGGCGAGCGGGCAGCGGCACCGCCACGAGCCTTCAGTCTGGCTCTGGCACTGATGGGAGACGTGATGTCCTGCCGCCTGAGCGCAGCGCAAGCGAGGCGACCCTGCTATCCTGTGCGCCGTCTCCCTTCCCGCGCGTCCTGCCCCTGCCTTCTGCGGCGCCTCGGCTGCCCAGCGACGGCCCTTCTTCCGCGGAGTGACATGTGAAGATGCCTTCAGAGCGATCGTAGTGCCAAGTGCCGTAGATGTTATTGAGCGAGAACGTCGCAGTGCCTTTAGTGTAATCTGCCTGTGAAGTGCCTTTGTTTACAAGGTCTGTGATACGAATGATATTGAGGGACGGCGTAGCCTGCCGTGTGACGCGAAGGGCAAGTGCCGCAGCCTGCAGAGTTCCGATGCGCCGCGAGTGTTCCGCCGAGAATGACAGGCGTGTGAGATAAGATGAGAGGCGGCGTGAGCACCTCTGCCTCCAGCTCCCTCCCTCAGGAGTTTCTTCCCTTACGCTTCGGACCACACACGCCCCCCTGCCCCCTCTCCCCCCCGAGGACCCCGTGCCCGAGTGCCCCCGCGTCTCCCGCGGCGATGGCGGACTGTCGCAGCGACGTGGCCGCCGCGCCGCCGCTCGCGCCCTCCTTCTCCACGCTGCTGGGGCAGGGCCACACGCCCAAGCTCAAGGCCTACATGCTCTCGAAGCACAACAAGGAGCGCGTGACGTCGGCCGCGCCGCCCCCCACCAGCCCCTCCGCCCCCCTCGGCAGGCCCATGCCGCCCTTGGAGCCGCTCCTGGACGCCGCGGAGGACCTGGGCCCGCCCGCCCTCGCGCTCAGCCGCGCGCTCCCCAAGAAGCGGCCGCGGCTGAGCAGCGATCTCAGGGACGACCCGGCGCTGCTGGAGGCGGCGGCGTCGAGCCCCCTCTACCTGCCCGACACGCCCTTCTCGCTCGCCGCGCGCGGGGACGACGGCGACGCGTACCTGGAGGGCTCGAGGTTCCTGTCGCCGACGCCGGAGTCCACGGCGGCCGTCGCCGGCGCCCGCCTGCAGCGCCAGCACGACCTGGACCTGACGTCCCTCCTGCCGCCGTCGCCGCCCTCCTACCACCTCTCGCCCGGGTACACCATCAACCAGTTTTTCACCGAGCTGCAATCCAGCCCCTCCTCGGTCGCCGCCAGCAGCCCCAGGGCCGTGTCGCAGCCCCCGTCGCCCGCCTGCGTCGTCCCCACCTCGGCCAAGTCGCCGCCACAGCTGCAGGAAGTCGCGGCGCCGGCGGCCGACCCCAAGGCGGGGGCCGAGGACTGGCTGGCGCAGAGCAGCGCGCTGGACCTGAGCCAGCTGCCCAGGACAGACCACCTACCGCAGCTGGTCATCGCCAGCCCCTACCGCGACCTGGCCTCGGGCCTGCGCTTCGGCCAGACGCCTCCGGACGCGCAGACGGCGGGCCACCCGCGCGCGCTGGCGGCGGGGCCCGCGCGGGGCGGCTGCGTGCAGATGGGCGGCCCGCAGAGCAGCTTCCAGGAGGTCGGGCAACAGAGGAGCGGCTTCCAGCCCGTGCGACCGTTGAAGATGCGGTTGCAGGGCAGCGGCCCCGTCAGGAGCGGCTACCCGCTGGTGGGCCCGCTAAGGCCCGTGTTCCAGCCGGGCGGCGCGCAGGGCAGCGTGCTCCTGCAGCGGCCGGCCGTAAGCCTGCAGGAGGCGCGGCAGTGCCTGGACGTGAAGCCCCGCCCCCACCCGTACCACCCGCGCCCTGTCCACCTCCCCCGGACCTTCCCGCCCCCGCTCAAGCCCTTAGCAGGTGAGTGCCATTAACCGCAGAACCGGCGCGAAAGGCGCGTTTTTTTCCGCGGGCGTTTTCTGCGCGAGAAGACGGAGCCGACGGACCTTTCCGCCGGGAAGAAAACGCAAAAGCCAGAGCTAAACACGAGGCAAAAGAGAACTAAAAGGAGGAAAAGTAAGAAGGAAAGAAAAGGGATATTCGACGCTGTAAAGGAAATGCGGGGCATTTCTTCAGACGTACAGCGCCGTGTTGCGGCCAGCACAGACTGCCCTCCGTCGGCAGGAGGTAAGAATGCTGTGCCTTCGCCGAGAAAATCCTTGTTCTGTAGGCGCTGCGGCCGAGGCCTGGCTCCGCGGGCGTTGCCCCTCGAGGCAGGCACTGGCTGTTG